AACTCCAGACACAAATACTGGGGTCATAGGTGTTCCTAGGCCCTTCTTTGAAGTAAAACTAGCCTGGTACAAAGGCCGCAAGCACCCTAATTTGGATTGGACATTGATTATAGAATCGTTAATCTAGAGCCAGGCATGGCAACTCATGCCTTTAATCCCATCAGTCCGGCAGGCAGATCTCTGGGTTCAAGGCCAGCCTGATCTATCTACAAAGCATCAGGACAGCTGGGGCTACACAAAGAAACTCTGTCTTGAAAAACAAAAACAAAAATAGACTAGTGGTGCAAGGTTTCTTGTTAAAGCTTGGGAGGGCATATGGTCTCTGGTTCTGGGAGGGTATAGCCCCACTGTAGTCTAGGGATGAAACCATTAAGTCCCTTACTGAGAGTTCCCCATGACTCCACCAGACATGTTTGTTTCTTGGGCTCTCAGGGGAAGGGCCTATAATGAAACGACAAATGACCCTAGCAATTAGGCAAACCAGCAGAGAGATCCCAGGAGGCCCAACTATTTTCCATAACGAACTCAGCAGCTCTGCTGGAAACTCCTAATTATGAAGGACCTGTCTCCTGAGCCCTGACACTCAGTATCCTTCTATGTCTATGAGTAGAGGGAGCTTTGTAAGGCCTGTTTGGCTCTGTCCTATGTATAACCTTCAGGTGCAAACTGTTCTCCAGGGATAATGTGGCCTGGGAGGGTAGCCTAAACCAGGTAGTAGTTGCCAGCATCAAATGTTGGAGCTAGGGCATTGTCCTTCACTGGACCAGGCTAGCCATACTATGGCTTACACTATGGATTCTCAGTCTACCGACTATCCTAGACACCCTGGTTTCACATCTCACTTGAGCCTAGCCTGCCCGAACCAAAGAGTTATGCTAGGGATAGAGGTGTTTCAGCCTGGCCTACATTCCTCTCCCATCCTAGAAAAGCGTCCATGCAGTATGAGTGACCTCTGACTTCCTGAATCCCATTTCTTCTGGCTGTGGAAGGCATGTTCCTTCTCAGTTATCAGGACTCTAACTCACTCTAATGTTCATTCAGAGTATCTGTGTTTGGGGAACAAGAATGGGGTCAGGATACTCCTGGATACTGGGCACCTGTGTTCTGGGAAGACTGAAGCTTTTCCTTCTGACCCCAAACCTAAGGATGTTTGCCAACAAGCACAGGAACAAGAGGCTGTTTCTTGCTAACTTCCTGGCTCAGGTTTACCTGTCCTTGCCTGGCAGGACTCTCCGTCATCCCAAACTGGCCTGGTGAGGTGGGCTGAGACCTCCCAGGGATAATAAGAGCAGCCACTATCCACAGAGCCCTAGGATATGGTTGGGACTAGACCGGGACCCTGAGGAGAGACCTTCAGGGCCATGTCTACATAACTTAGTCTTTGATATAGGAGATGCTATACTGCCCAACCTCAGGGGCAGAGTACAAATACTAATCTGAATCCCAGAGGTCCCTACTATGTCTTTGGGCTACAGCCCTGAGCCCCACTTTATTATGAACCCATCTCTAAAAGCTCTGATCTCTGGTCAGATGCTCCAGTTAAAGTCTATTGAGGACATTTCTGGGGCATGTCCTGGCAGAACCCAACAGCCCTGAGCTGTGGTACATATCCCTCTGTCTCAAGTTGACAAAGGGTAGGTGAGCACCCTAAATGTCACATGAACACATAGATACCTTCTGATGAGATTGAAAGGACTAGGCCTGAATGAAAAGGAGAAGGTGATCTGATAGGCTCACCCTGTCCCCGCTCATATACCCAGGCATCTGAACCTATCTCTGAGTGGGATCCTCAATAAATGTTCTTTTCACCATCATTAGGAGTTGTGTGCTACCAAGATGAACAGACACATGCAATCAGTTCTAAGTCAGGATGCTGAATATCTAGTGTAACCTCCCACTCTTTCCCTTTCCTGGATGGCAGAGGTTGCTGTTCAACACAGGCTGAGCATCAGGAAAAAAAACCTCTCAGGTTGTAAGCTCAGGTCTCTTCCTTTCTTGTAGATGCAGCAGTGAACCTCCTGTTCTCACAGCTCCCACTCACATCTATTGCCAGGGAGTCAGCACCTTCCACACAAACTCAAAAAGCTCTGGATAGTTTGCTCTCTTGGCCTCAAAGTAGAGAGACAACCAGTTTTTCACAGGAGACTCAATAAAATGGCTCCATCAGGGAGCTCCAGAGCAGTGGGATGGAGCCTTGCATGAAAGTGTCTACAGATATTCCTCTAGCTTTCTTGGTCCCTGATGGAAATGGTCTAGGCCCTTCACAGAAATTATGCTGAATGGCTGGTGATCCTCTATGTGAATGTTCTCAGGGAATAAAGTTGTCTTTAAATATTTTCCTTAAAGAGTCTGAACTGGCTTTTTTTTTTTTTTTTTTTTTCTTTCTAGACAGGGTTTCACTGTGTAACAGCCTTGGCTGTCCTGGAACTAGCTCTGTAGACCAGGCTGGCTTCTAACTCACAGAGATCTGCCTGCCTCTGCCTCCCCAGTGCTGGGACTAAAGGTGTGAGCCACCACCACCTGGCGACCCCTGGCTTCTTGTTCCTATAGTTACTACATGATTTTCTTTGTTCTTCTTGATACTTATAGAATAAAATGACCAGAGCTATCTATGTCTGTATTAGCCACGTGGTCTAGAGAAGGCAAGGTTGCTACATCTCATCACAGGGTTTTGAGCAAAAAGGGTCACCTCAGGATATCCCATTGCAGAGCCTCCTGCTTGAAGTGATGAAGCCTAGGGTGGTCATCAAAGTCCAGATCCAGCATCATGGTAGGGTCCAGTAAGCCTAAGGCAGTCCATCCTTTTCCCATCTAAAAAAATGGTTCTACTACCTTGCTAATGCCTAGGTGTTGATAGCCAGCTCTGAGTACCCAAATGGATGAGCAGTCTGAGTTGTAGCAAGATCCACCATTCACCATGTGAAAAAAGCATAGGGAGGAAGGCCTGACACTCATGTCTGCCACAAGTCTCTCAGGGCAGGTCTCAAGTCTCAGTAGAATCCTCTTTCTGTATATTCCACTTGTTGAGGAGGTCAGTGGATGTGGGTACAATGGGCAGAGCTCCTGTGGCCTTGCTAGTTAGTTGAGCCACTTCACAGACCAGGCCAGTCTTATGCCAGCTGCACTGGGTGTCAGAATCTCTGTGAAACCAGACAAAGGTTCTGTCTGGCCCACCTGCTAGGCAGGGCAGTGTTACCATGGCAGCAGGAGAGGGACAGTGGGTGGAAGTATGTAAGGAAGCTCTCTAGGGACCTGAGAGGCATGACTGCTCCCCTTGGTGGCCTCCTCAGAGGAATGGCTGGTCTGAGAGGTGTGGCAGAAACCCCCACATCAGTGACTGGTGCTGGAGTTGGCCTGAGGGAACCCAGCCCCCAGTCCCTCAACCCTAGCCAGACTGAGGCCTCCTTGGGTGGGGCAGACACAACAAAGGCCCATTGTGCTGGCAGCCAGGCTACTTCCTGCATAGTTACCAGCCTTGCCAGCACCCAGAATAAGCTGAGGAGGGGTCCCACATGCTTCCAGGGGCTCATCTTCCCTCTGGGACAACCTGGCAGGAAAAAAGAGGGCCCTGAGTCTCCTTTCAAGCTGGGATTCTCTCAGGCAGAACAGGCTCCAAGTTCCCTGACTCTGTCATGTGCTCAGAGACAGCTGCCAGCTTGTCCATTTCTGGCTTCTCTTCCTTATGAGCCAGAAATCTTCCCACTGGCTTTTGGCTCTTCTAATTTGCACACCAACACCTGGGGCAGATATGGGTAGATGCTGAGAACTACCTGACCAGCCCTATGTAGGGCCTATCTTAAAGCCAGCATGCTGTACCTGGGAGCTTAACCCAGTGGATCAGACTCTGTTACCTCAGTCTCTAGCCCTTTGCCACATGGGGGAGGGGGTGTTTGAGCTCTCCCACTGCTCTAGGGAATGGTTGGTGTTTCTTTCACTCATGGTGGACAGTCTGTGGGCTATTTTTGTCTCTTCCCACTCTAGCCAGCACTGTCCTGGAAAACAAACCATTTCTTTTTAAGAAACTTAGGAGGAAAATCTATCTCATAGAGTAGTTCTGGAGCTCCCCCCCCCCCCTCCAAGGGCCAGTAGACCCTCCTCCTAGTATTTGGGATTCAGGCAAATTGGAGGTACTGCTCAAGAATAAAGAGCACCAGTTCTGCCTCTTGACACCTCTAAGCCTCCTCTCTTCCTACACTAAGCTGCCTCATATTGGCAAGAAGGCCCACGGGGTGGGACTAGAGTATTGATAGAGCTTTGGGTCTGTCTTGGACTTGCTTCCTGCCCTAGGTCCATGGAGCAGGTGCTTCTCAACATGCTGCTCTTTTCTAAGGGTTAGGAACAAGTGAACACACCTGGGAAGTGGCCCAGACAGACGCTGCATAGAGGACTTGCCTTCATCTTTTTATTCAATCTTCCATGCATTTGTCTCCTGCCACTCTGCCCATCCACTCAAGGGCCCATAGACGCTTTGACCATGCAAAATATAGAACTTAAGGGTTCAAGCCAAAAAGGTCATCCTATTAACACAAGGTCCCTTCACAATCCTGCTGAGCCATCTTAGAGCATGTATATCATGTGGCCTTAGGCCTGACACAGAGCCTTAGCAGTGACACAGAACAGAGAGGCCAAGAGCAAGGATTCCCACTTGCTTTCCTGAGTAAATCCTGAGCTCCCTCCCTCCACCTTTGTGATCTACACTTCAGGGTTAGTCCAAGTGTCCAGTTAGGGCCAGAAGGACATAACAGACTCTGTTGATACTGGACCAGGCCCTACAGTCAGCCTCAGCCTTGACATGGCCACCCTCTCTGCCAGAGACCTCCACTCTCCTGTGTCCTCCCCAGGTCACCCTGAGGGTTGTGATACTAACCATAGCATCTTTTGAAATCTTAGGAAATGTGAATAGAAAACACAGAACCTAAAGTATGAAACCCTACATTCATTTAGAAACAGCCTTCTGCTGCATTTACCTGACCTGAGACTGTATACTTATTTCTTTTCAGTTCTCCATAACTCCACCCAAGTTTCCAGAGGCCCAGCCTGTGATCAGCTATCCAGACTTCTCAGCCCATCCTATCAGCTTCTGATGTCCACATGCTTTGCAGTTTTGTTCCACTCATCCACAGGATCACAGGTGTCCCAAGCTGCTTTCCCCAAACCCCTGCTAGGATCATTTGCATCAGGATGCCAGTACCACAGAAAAAGAGGAAATCTGAGGATGGAGTTCTGGGCACCCTCGGGTCTGGCAGCTGAGAGGTCTCAGCTCAGACTTCTTGCAGGTTCTAATGGGGCAAAGGAGGTCTATGTGGAGAGTCCTGGTGGTTGGTAGGCAACTTGATGGTTCATATCAAAGGTAGGAACTGAGGCCAATTCATGATCTATTGCACTGTAAAGGATCCTGGCATTTGGTGGGGAAGCAGATGATGGCTTAGCAGGAAGGACAGAAGAAGTTATGGGATCTGGAGAGCTGAAGGAAGAGAGCCTTCTCCTGGCCTCCTTGGGCACCTGCACATACAAACAAGCAAGCACATATACATGAAATAAAAATAAATACATTTTTAAGGGATTTGCTGTTGAGCTTTTATTTTCCCCTGCACAGAGACCAGCTTTCAGGTGGTGGTTTAGTGTGTCCATCAGTCCCTGGTATTAATGACCATCACATTCAGCCTGCCAGGCTCTTGAACATGAGTGTGAAGTTTGGAATCCAAGATGCCTCTGGACTAAACCCTTTATACCAAGCTCTATACCAAACTAAATGAAACTCAAGGATCCTTAAAATAAAATTCCAGGGATCTCAGCATCATAGGCTCTTAGTAATCACTCTGAGCAAGCAGCCCTGAAACAACTGGCCCATGGCACCTGAAACCTACTTGCAAGAAACAGACCTCCAGGGAGGCTGGCTCTCTGGGGCTTGGAACAGAAGAGGAGCTGGGTAGAGAAATCCCAGCTGGTGGAACCAAGACAGCTATGGAAATCTGAGGCAAATCAGTCTCAACAGGCTCCAACTCAGCCTCCTCCCCTCAGGTCACCTAGGCTTCTGGAGGCACAAAACTGACGATGTGGAGTCTGATAGGGGGTATGGGAGTGGTTGCCCCTATGAAGGTGTCTCAGCAGTTTGAGGTCAAGTTGCCATTCTGATGAATGAGAAAAGACACCTAGGATGAGTGCTCAGTAGGATTGCCACTTTGAGAGCTGATGGATCTTCACAGTAGGGTAGTCTTTGTGAAGGAGGGTGTGAGGAGGTCAGGGCTTCATCTACCTCACAGTCCTATAGCTCAGGACTCCTCAGACACTGGGAAGGAAGGGGAAGTGGATAGGCAGGGCCACTTCCTGTTTGGGTCTGGCTGGGGGAGCCCTGCCCACAGCTTGACCTCTACTTGATCCCACTCTCTTGCCTCTGATCTCCAGTGTTTCTCCACCCTCACCTGTGTTTCATCCTAAATTCAAGTGGTATTTACAAATCAGTTATGTGTATGGCCCAAGGTGGGTTCTAGCCAGGTTGGGCTTTTATGCTACTTTGGGATAGTCAGGAGTCAGGGTGGGAGCTTCAGGGAGAATGTCTTTGGTGTTTGCTGGACACACAAGTAAGGAAGGAATTGAGGCCTGGAATGAGTGCTCAACTCAGGGCTCCCACCAAAAGGCATGATTCCCTACACAGCTGAATCTGCTTCCTGGTGGACCTGTGTCAGCTTTATGTTCACCTGGGACACACACCAGATCCTACCTCTAAGTGGTTGTGAAAAACAACAAAATATTCAAGGTCAATATTGGCTCTGATTTTGCTTTTTGCTTTATTTATTTTGAAACAGGGTCTCATGTAGCTCAGGCCAGCCTTGCACTAGCTAAGGATGGCTTTGAACTCTTGATCCTCCTGCCTTCACCTGCAAAGTACTAGGATTACAGCTGTGTACTGCCATACCTGGCTTATTGGTGACTTCTCTGTAATCTTAGCACTGAGGAGGGTGAGTTTGAGGTTAGCTTGGCCTATAGTGTAAGATCCTTTCTCAAAAATAAAACACAACAAAAAGTGGCTTTGAGCTGGATGTGGTTGTGCATGCTTATAGCCCAAGATTTTCAGGAGGCTGAGGCAATGGGATCCCTTGAACCAAAGAGCTGGGGGTACCAGCTTGGGCAAGATATTGAAACCCTCTTATCTAAATAAACAAATGCAAATAAATAGCCTTGATGCTGAGCCTTTTCCTGAGAGTATAGGAAGCTGTTTAGGCTTTGATTTAGAGCTAGAAGAGGAGACCTATCTTTACTTCTGAGGCCAGGACCCAGAGGTCCCTGTGGGCAGATCTGGCCAGTGTCAATCATTATACAGAAAGGCTAGCTCTGGTATACCCGTGGGTAGTGATAAACATTGCATCTCCTGGTGTCTATACTCCAGTAGCACTGCCACACAGGGAGTTGCAGAGAATCCAGACACAGCTGTTGGAGCTTAGCTTTTCCCCCACCCTTGGCTCTGGCAGGACACAGTATTGGTACAGGTAACAGATTTGCGTCCAAAAGCAGCACCTGGAACCAGCATTAGCATCTAATTTGAAAATTCTTAGACTCAGGAGAAAGGTATGGGTTCTTGATTGCAGGCTGGAGCCAAGCAATTGATAATAGGGGTCTCTCTTTGGGGGCAGGGAGTCCTATGGGACACTGTGACCTGCAAGGAAGCCCTCCAGGCTTGTGGAATGAGGCCAGTAAGCTGGCCCTCACTACTCTCAGCCTTACTGCTCTGAGCTGGGTCCTGAGCCAACAGGAAGCCTTGCTTGGGTGGGGCATAGAGTATTCTAAAGGAGCATAGTAGCCCTAGTAGCCCCTAGGCCTCCTGGCTCCTGTTTTTCTTTGTAAGGCTTTCCAGTGGCTACACTGACTCCTAACACCCTAGGTCAAATGTCTGCAAAAGAGACCTGCTGACCTCCCTGAGAAGGAACCAGGCAGACCCGGTTACAGACTCTCAGGAGGTGCTCAAGGCACTAACTTGTTGAGGTGCAATAGACACCTTGCCCTGTCCTACTGCTGGGACTCCTAGGCTCCCAAATTTACACTGATACTTTTACCCAAGACTACTGAAGTTCTGGGTGCTTATTGAAGATGGCAGCGCCACAGCAACCACTTGGTACCTAACTGCTCTTCTGGCCTATCATCTAACAATTCCCTCAGTACTATCCCTTCCTCACTTTAACTGACCCCCTATAACACAGGTGTCCCAGTGCCTCAATCACTCTCCTTATTCCTTCAAAGTACTTCACCTTGGTGCCTGTGCAGGCTGTAGGGATAGATCAGAATATTTATTCAAGGTCCTAGGTAATTGGTACAGCATGGGGCCTGTGAGGCCTCATTGAGGTCAGATGGGAGTCAGATTGAGGTCAAATGGGGTTCAATCACTGTGGGTCATGCAGGTCTTCCTTTGTCTTCATTTCCAGAGGAGTAAAGACATCTTCTCTCATGGGTCAGGATCTGGGAAAAGCTGAGGCACTAGCCTGGATGGGAATGGACCAGCATGGTGGATGATTTCTGAGGAAGAGGGAGGCAGGGCCTAAAAGTGCCAGGTACCCTTGGAGTAGATGTTGCCTCGAGCAGAGGAGGGGTTTCTGGAGGCTAAGGTGTCCCAGTGATGGTATAGGGGTTTTTCAGAGTCAGACCCCTAGTGGAGCAGATGTGAAGGGAGGGGGCAGGTACAGGTAGGTGAAGGACACCAGCTTCTGCTGTGTGAGCTTTCAAAGACCTAACAGAGAAGCTGGAGTAACCTTGCTTTGTGTTAGAAGTCTCTTTTCAGATTGCATTGCAGAGGAGAGAGGCAGAACCATCCAGAAACCTCAGGAGGCAGGGTCCCAAGCCCCAGAGGCTAAGGTCCAACCTGTAGCCAAGCTGGGAAAACTGAGCAGGTGCTCCGGCTTTAAGCCCTGTGCCTGGTGACAGAGCTAGACAGGCACTCCCCAAGCCTCAGGTGCCACAGCTTGGCCCCTAGGGCAATGTCTGATGCAACCCCAGCACAGAAAGGGGGCCACTGTGAGCTATGGCCAAGCAGAAGGAAAGCTCTGTTATATAAAATTATTTTGCCCACCTTTGGGTCCCTTGCTCCTGACAGAGGCCTGAGCCAATAGACCAAGTGGGGCCCCTCAGCTGCCCAGAGCCCTAAACCAGCCATATTTTCCTGATCTGGTCATAGTCGTCCCATTTCTACTCCTCCCCCACCGCCACCCTCAGCAAATCTGGATTCTTAATAAGACCTCTGGGTCTCCTAGTAATTGGTCTCAAAGGAAAGTGTCGTGGAGACAGAGACCCAGGCCTCAGAGGGTGGGTGGAGTCAGAAAATCACCACCCATTTCCACATTTGCTTTGGTGTCTAATTGTGCTCAGGGGCTACAACTCCCCAGCACCAAGAAGGCTTGTTTTTCAGAGTACAAGAGTGTAGTGGGGCCTCATTGGCTTCCCACTCTCAGACACAAAAGACCACTTTGCTCTGACAAGTACTCAGATAAGTACAGGAATCAGGCTAGGGTGCTAGGGCTGTGGTGACAGGGCTAGGGTTTAGAGTTGAAGCTACTTAATCAGCAAGAACTGTTGGTATGGGAATATAAGCCAGGTGCTTGAGGGGTTTCAGTACAGTCATACTGCACCTAGACCCCGGACTAAGACATGTAGGGTTGGAGAATGTGTTTCTGTGTTTTGCAGTAGAGTTTGTTTCTAATTGGGGTCAAATTCACATGACAAAAAATTAACCATTTTAGGGGGACAATTCATTGCATTTCTACATTGATAGTATTTTAGTAACTACCACTCTTTGGCCTCTATCTCTATGGGCTGAGGCTGAGTCTATTCTGGGAATGTCCTAGGAATAGGTCATACTACATACAATTCCGGCTTTTTGTGCCTTGCCAGGGAACCCAGAAACAGCCTCCAATTCCTATCTTCCTACAGTAAAAGTGTTGATAGCTCTTGCTGCTGTTTTTTTTTTTCATCCCATGGGCCTTTGTTGTCTAGGAAGACATGTGCCTGCTCATGGACTATCCTATGGTCCGGGAGGGCCAAGAGAGCAGGTCCCATAGGAAACCCCAAAGTTTAATGGAATCAGAGCTGACTGGTAATGAGAGATCCTAGGCCTTGTTAATACATGTGTAGCAACAGCAGAGCTGTGTCTCCAAACAGGAAGACAATGTTGGGAAAGAATCTGGGAGTAAATATTTTATTATGAAACCAGTATATGTAGTGAGAAGGACCCTCTGATCCCCTATCATGAGGCCACCTTTGTTCAAACTATGTATGAACATGGGGCATCAGACGGTGAGTCCAATAGAGAGGGAGAAACAGGAAGAGAGGCAGTGACTTTACAGTCACCGAGTAGAAGAAGGTCTCATTTGAAGTTTGAGGACACAAGAAAAGACAGAACATGGGATCCAAGTCATGGCAACCTGGTATGCACCCCAGGGAAAGTAGGTAGAGACAGACCTCAAAAATGGCAATAGCAGGCACTCAGGAGGCAAGACTGTGTCCTAGAAGCCTCAATTGCAAGGAGAGCAGGATGTCTCCTGTTGTTATAGTCAGCTGTAGAAACAAGAGGTTGGAGAG